AAAAGTGGGCTCGGAAAACGAGCCTTGGAAAAGTAAAGGAGCCTTTCTCACACTGCAGGAAAGAGAGAACTCGGTAACCTTGCCGGGTGGTTTGTTTTGCCAAATGGGTTTCTGGATTTTAATGTGAAAAACAGCCTCCTCCTGTGCCCTGCAGAGGTCTTTGGTGCCAAAATATGAAAACTGGGCTTGAAAACTGTGGAAAAGTTTCCCAGACAGATTTCAAGCTCAGGTCCATCTCAGAAAGAGCCTTGCTCACTGAGAAGTTCAGAAAACGCAGGTGTGGAATTGGTTCAAGTGCTTAATATGAAAAAATAGCCTCTCCAGTGGCCCGTTCGTGAAGACTAAATGAAAACTGGGCTTGCAAAAAGACTGGAAAATGTAAAGGAGTCCTGCTCATTCACCAGTTAAGAAGAAGCTGAGGAGCCGCGCAGGGCTTTTTTTTTGCCTGGTGCATTTCTGGTGGGTCAGAAGGGAAAAGGCCTTCTCCAGTGCCACAATTAAGTTCTTTGAGGGTAAAATAAAACACGGGGCCTAAAAAACCAGCATGGAAAAGTAAAGGGGGCTTTCTGACTCTGCTGTTTCGTGCCACTGGGCGAGGAGCAGAGCCTCAGGTGGTTCACCAGGGCCGGGCCACTCAGGGTCGCTGGGTTATGACGCTGTATGTGGAGGTGGGGTCAGAGCAGGGAAACGGCGGCGCCCTTGCTGCCACTTGCTGCGGGAACCCACTGGGTCCCGGTCGGACCGCCCACTCCCTCACCTGTCCGCCCATGCACAAATGCGCAACCACAGTCAACACGCAGCACTGCTCCCCGCTGTCACCCTGGTGGTCGCTCGCCTAGTGGCTCGCTCGGTCGCTCACTAGGTCCAACCCTGCGCCTGGATTCCGCGCCTGAGTCCGGCTGACCGAGACCTCCTGTGCAATCCCGCTTCATCAGCTGCTGGTTTTGCCCCTTACCAGTCAGGCTGAAGAATTTGTTGTTAACGGACTTCCGAAAAGTTCAATTTTCCGTGTTCTGGCTGTGTTTTCTGTTGCTAATATTTAGTTGTTCCTAAACTTGGTTGTGTGAGAAGGCACGGCACATCCACCTATGCCTCCATCTTGGTGGAAGTCAGCCAAAATTGACTTTATTCATTCCATGGTGGATGGGTGGTCGGGATGTTCCTGATCTGGACTCTGATCCTCCAGGCACCTCTGCGCGTGTCTTGCTGTGGGTCTCTTGGTGCACATTCCCATTGGGGGAACACGCCCAGGACTGGGACTGCGGGTTCCAAAGACCTGCATGCAACGTGCGGTTCCCATTTAAATTCCCGTGAGACATGGTTCCAAATCCTGGACAAATCAGCGTTCTCTAGCTGTTTGGTGTCAGCTTTAAATTATACACACAGAAACAAGTATAATTGACTTCTGTGTCTTTTCTCCCACCTGAATGTGGAGCATCTCTCCCATCCCACTCCAGGTCTCAGGCTCTGGAGCAGTGGTGTGTTACTGCCCCCTGGTGGTCTGGAGGCATTAGGACAGGTATGTGGACACCAGGTCTCTCCAGCCCTATGGGTGCTCCTGAATGAACCCCGTCTTTGATCTGAGCCAGCTGTCCCTTTTGCAATCAATTTACGGTGAAAATTACCTTCCAAACACACCCTAGTAGGGACTTGGCCCCCAACCCAGACATGTGCCCCCACTAGAAATCAAACGAGGGACTTCATGGCTTACAGGCCGGCAGTCAATCCACTGAGCCACACCAGCTGGGACCCACTGAAAAAAATCTCTCTTTTTGGAGAACTTGAGTCTTTTCCTTTTTCTTTTTGGTGGATTTTGCAAAGGGACAACCAGATAGAGCAATTCTGAATTTCCTCTTCATGAACTCAAGTCTTGGTGTGTCTTCATGATGACAGCGCTGTACCGAGTGAGTCCACCTGCTGCTCCTGGTCAGGGAGCTGACCGAGGTTTGCACGTTGGAACGAGACCCAGAGACCCTGCTGAACCGCCCTGGGGAATAAGAATGTTGAAACCCCAGGGGATAAAGTTGAGGCCCGTGGCATCTGAGATCACCCAAGTGGCTAAACCTGAACCCACCCCCTTCTGTGGTGTGCATCCTCTCGGGAAGGACCTGGAGGACTTGGAGCTTGGAGATGCCCAGTAATATGTCTGGTCAGAAGGGGGCACCCGTGAGCAGACTCCAGATGAGGTGTCCAATGCCCACCTTTCCCCCTTGCCAGGCTGAGAAGCCAGCACACCTGGGTTTCAAACATCGATTCTGTCTAATTTGAATGTCTCTCCACCCTCTGCACCACTCAGAGACCCCAGTCATCACTGCTGGAAAATGGGTTACCTCTTGAATTTTCTCTGATGCCCATCTTTGCACCCTGGAAACAGAGGCCCGTAGAAAACAAGCTAGAAACTGATCATCTGCCTGCCTGCCTGCTCCAGCCCCTTGGATCTGGTTGCCTTCTTAGTAACTGGTCCACACTCGTTCCTCCAGGAGGATGGGACATCTTGTGTCTCTGGGAACTGACACATCCCACACTGCCACCTACCTACATCTGGTGACTCAGGCCTGTTGAGTTCAAAAACCCTTCTGGTCCCTTCTGCCCCCTCACATCTGGGCTCTCCGGATTTCCGTTTAGCTTCCTTCTCCCCTCCGTGATCGTCTGACCAGGCAAGGACCCTTCTACCCAAATCACTGCCATCTCTACCTTAAGCACCCAGGATAGCCTTAAGCTTGAACTTCGCCCATTTGTGGAAGGTGCAATGAACTCTCTCCCTATGCGTCCTGAGTCTAAAAGCTTCACTTTCTCCAAAGCAAAACACACAGATTCACATCTTTACCACGGATGCCATGGAGACCGATAGTCCTACAAGGACCACCTAGAATACGATCAGAGATGGGTCACTGTGGAGCACAGGGCTCCTGGTAGGCGCCAGGAAGTTCAACAGTGACCCATAGGCATGTGACTGCTGGTGCAAAAATTTTTAAATTAATTAATTAATTTTGCTACAGCTGTGCAAAGAGAAATTCTTGCTCTGGCACTTTCCTGGAAGACACAGCTATGGGGAAGTTAAGGCCTGAAGTGAGGGGAGGTCCCGGATTGTTCTTGGGGATGGTAGGGCACAGCCTGGACTTGTGAGGAGAGCTGGGGTGGGCTTCTTAGGAGATGGTAGAACCTTTGGCTCAGGAAGAGGGTGGGGGGTGGGCCTGTTGAGGAAGAACCTGGAACGAAACTGAGAAGATGAGCAAGGAAGGTGTCCTGTTCTGCTGAATCCAGTCCCTTTCTGATCGGTCAGTCGGACGTCCACAAACTCTGTCTCCATCCTTTAGAAAATTACTGCGGTTTCCATCCCCGCCGGGTCCTGGGGTATCTGCAGCGCCTCAGGCACTGCCCTCCCTCCTCACTCTGCCAGGGCATGAATCCGAAACTTACTTCCTCTCTCCTGCCCCCAAGAACATCCCCAAGGACAACCTCTGCACCTAAGCTTCTTCTCCAGGGATATATGGGAAATTCTTAGATTTATTACTGCCCATACTACGAGGTCAGGGTCTGAATGGAGTTGTGGATTTAGTGTGTGTGCAGTGTGTGCGTTGTGTGTGCGTTGTGTGCACGTGTCCAAACCTACCTGGGTCTCTTAGGCAAGTGGGAGGGGTTTCATTGCATCCTGGCAGTGTACCTGTCCCTGCGAACCCAACGCTCCCCGCCAAGAGTGTCCCCCCACAACCGCCCGACAATCTGATCTAATTCTGTCTCTGCTCCCTGGAGGCTGGCCGGGCCTAAGGGGATCGGAGCCTGTGGGGCCAAAACTAGGGCCAGGACCGGGTCAGAGAACCAGCTGGGGATGACGCAGCGGCCAGGGCGGCCACAAGGGGGCGACAGAGGAAACAGGAGGGGGAGACCAAGTGAGCAGAGAGGGGGTGAGAGGTGTCCCACCCTGCTGTACGCAGGGCACCCAAGGAGGGGACCAGCGTGCAGCCTCTGAAGGAAACAGTGTTTACAAGATAACCATGCACTTTATTAATTTTCAAATGATAAACCCACACACCAAAAATGTCCAGATAATTTATGTGAATTGGAACAACTGGAGTCAGGTCCCTTCCTCAAAATAATAGAATCGACTGATAACAAAATCTGTCAACTGAATCTCATAAATAGGACACTTTGGAAAACAACTTCCAAAACGTCAGGCAATTGTAAAGTACAAGAACCAAATCCATACCTAAGGCCACAGTGATGGAAATAAAAACACTTTCTAGAGAACCTCTGTAAAGTCCAAATGAAGAAATAAATGATAGACTTCGATTGGGTTTTAATTTTATTGCGTGATTTTATTTGCTTGCTTTCCCACGCAGAGGTAGGGAGGGGGAGAAACATCCACGTGGAACAGAAACATGGGCCGGCCGCCTCTCGCGCGTCTCCAAGTGGGGACCTGGCCTTCGACCCACGCGTGGGCCCTGACTGGGAGTCCCTCAGGCCACCTCTCAGTTGGAAGGCAGGCTTTCACTCCGCTGAGCCACGGCAGCCGGGGCTAAAAAACATACTTAGATTGTAAATCTCAATCATGTATAAAAGTGTCAGTTGTCCCCGCCCTGCCAAAACAACTTGTGGATTCAACACAATTCAAATTAAATGACCGCGGAGGCTGGTCTACGTTCCTTGGAGAGTTCCCGGGCAGCCCCGCCAAAGCTGAACATCCACCCCGCGCAGCAATCCCGCTCCTAGACCCGAGAACGCCCAGAAATACCATGTGCACCCCACCCTGAATGCCGCAATGAACACAGCACACACGACTTCCAAAGGTAGAGAGAGAGAAGCGTATTCGTGCTGCAGAAGACTAACCCACCAGCAAGACCCGCGAGCCCCAGCTTCCCCCACCCCCTGGGCCCACCCGCTGGAAGAGATGCCCTAGTGGGGTCTGGTCCCCAGGGGTCTGCAGGGCGTCGCTGGACAGACTCCCTAGAAACCCAGCAACCACCCGGTGCCTAAGTCCTTCCCATCCACAGAGACCTCACCTAGATTTCCAGGCTTGTACAAGAGGAGGGTCCCTGCGTCGGGTCCTGCAGGGACAGCAGTTCTGGGACGTTAAGCTCTGTCCAGAAATCGCCGTCGGTCGACATCTCGGGAAAGACGGGGTCGGCAGCTGGAGCTGGAGCTGCGGCAGCGGGGACCGGCTCCTGGGCGTCCTGACAGGGTCCCGGCGGGTCCTGCAGGTGGCTGGAGGCGCCGGCCTCTCCCTCTGGGACACCTAGGAAGGGGTCGTCGAAACCTGAGTCTCCAGGAAGCTCGGAGCCCCCGGAAGACAAGGGATCCTGAGAAAGCAAGAGATCCCAAGGCAATTCCGGCTCCTCGGGCAACCCGGTACCAGAGACGGACCCCGGGCAGTCGGGGAACGCAGGGCCGGAGGCGGCAGGAGCCGGTGCAGGCACAGAGGCGCAGACTTCTGGGCTCCGGGACGAAGCCGGGGCTTGCGGGCCTGGCTGCTTGGTGCTGGTCGCTCTTTGCAGCCTGTACTCTTTGGCCCGACGGTTCTTGAACCACACCTGCAAGGAGAGGGGACAGGGAGGAAGGGTAAGAACACAGAAACTTGGAGCTCCCACCTCCGCCCAGGGTGAGGCGGCCCGGGAAAGGAAGGCCCGCAGTCCTGGCGCTTCTCCCTCCGCCCCCGCACCCGACTTTTGGCTCCAAGGTTCAGTGGCCGCGGCCTGGGACCCCCAGGGGCCAGGACGCTCTGTGCCACAGACGATCCCGGGTTCAGAGAGGCCCTGAGGTCCAGGCATGGGGAGAATCCAGGGCAGCAGTTTGGGATTCAATGCCTTGGCTGGTTTGCACTACACAGGGTGAAGGGGGCTCAGGGCTGGGCCTTGAGTCTCTATGGGGGACCCCTTGCTATCCAGGCGACCCAGGGCAGTACTCGGCTGCTCTGGTCCCTGGTCCGCGCCAGCTGCGGTGCAGGACGCGGGCAGGCAGCCTGTGTGGTGAACGACTTGGGAGCAGGTCGATCCTCACCTGCACTTGCTGCTCCTGGAGGTTGAGTCTGGCCGCGAGGGTCTCACGCTCGTTGTAGGAGGGAAAACGTTCGTTCTGGAAGAACGTCTCCAGCTCCTTCTGCTGCTCCACGCTGTACACCGTGCGCTGCTTGCGCCGACGCTTCGGGGGCCTTGGGGGCAGCGAGAAGCCTGGATGCAGAAGAAAACAGGGTCAAAGGAGCCCCCCACACAGTCCCCAGGACTTCCCACCTCGGCAGGGCCCCCGAGACCAGGTGGGGATGGTGGTGCGGGCCCAGGGCCGGGGGAGGCTCTGTGGGCACAGCCTGGCATTGAGACCAGCCTCCCAGACCCTCCACCTTCCTGCCCGGGCCCCCACACTGGTGTAGCCTCGGTCTCCACATCTTCAAAATGGGCGCAAAAACAACGCATGTGTTCCCGTCACAGGGCCCGCAGCCCGTGAAAGCAGGCAGGGGGCCAGGCTCACCCAGGCTCACCCAGAACCGCGCCCCCGCCAGGAGCCACGCCGACACTCCCAAGAGGCTGCTTTGTGCCAGGCAATCTGCTCGTCATGCTCCCCAAAAGAGCCTTCCACCCCAAAACTCACTGGGCCCTCCCACACCAGGTGCCCTGGCCTGCATGCCCAGGACCCGGGCAGCCTCGGCCTGGGACCCGGACCCGCCGGCTGTGCAGCCTCGCCCCTCCGCCTCGTCTCCCTTCCTGCAGGTCCGCCCAGACTCACCCTCAGACATCTCCATCACAGATGCTCCTGCAAGTGAGGCTGTGTTCCACTTCTGGGCCTTAAATATCCCTGGATATGACGCAAGCGTCCTGGGAAACCCCCTCGGCCCACCTCCCCACCGCCTCAGGGGATGCATTAGGTCATTAATCCCTTGATTGAGGGCCTACTGTGTGGGGGGCCTGTACTGAGAACTGGAAACCTCAGAGTCGGGACAGCCTGGGGCTGTAGCTGAGGGAGGGGGGTGGGGTGGGCGGGGTAGGAAATGATGGAAAACCAGCCAGTCCTGAACCCGGGTCCGCATGGCTGGAAATGTTCCTCCGGGTGGTCCCGCCTGTGCCCCAGGCCCCTCCTCTCTTTTCCCAGTCCCGGGCATCCTCCTGTGTCTGGTTTATTTCACTGGACATAACGCCTGTGTTTCATCCGTGTTGTAGTCTGTATAAACATTTCATTCCTTTTCATGGCTGAGTAATATTCCCTTGTCCGTGTAGACCCCCTGTGGTTTCTCCATTCGTGCACTGAGGGGCACACAGCTGCTCTGGGCTGTGGTGAACAGTGTGTCTGTGAACATGGTGTGAATACGAGTGTGTAAACAAACATCTGAGTCCCTGCTTTCACTTCTTCCAGGTGTAACCCAGGGTGGGGGTATCTTTCTGCTGCTTAAAATGGCCCCCAAGCCATAGTGCCGAAATGTGGTCCACTGTGCCCTAAGCATCGGAAGGCTCTGGTGTGCGTCACCCGGAGAGATAAAGCACAGGGAGGTGCCTCCTTCGGGCACAGCTTTGTGTGCGGCTGGCCGCGAGTTCAGCGTGACAGAGCCCACTGTGTGTGTGACATAAGGTGTCTGAACACAGAGTCACTCATAACACAAGGGGACTTGCCGATCCGCTGATGAAAACATGACTGGAGGCGCACGGGAAGGCGGGAGCAGAAAGGAAGGTGCGATTTCAGAGTTTCAGGTGGATGTGGAGAATATCACTCCTTGGCCCACCTCAGAGGCAACCACACATTGGTATTTTGGTGCCTCTCTTTCTCCCCACCAGGGGGCGCCCGCAGTGACAGCTGGAAGTGCTGATGGAAGAGCTGAAGCAGGTTCCCAGGTTCCCTCAGTAGACGCACTGGTGGCACCTGCGGTGGTGGAACAGCAGGTACAGTCACGGCCCTGAGACCTGGTGTGCAGGTGTGTGCTGCCGAGCTTATGACGGCCGCCCATCGGAACTGAAAGGGGAATTGGACCCCCAACCTCTGTCCTGCAGACACCGTACCAGGTGGTGTCACCTGCAGGGTTGGCTTAAACAGCTGGCCTGTTAAGAGGGGCCTGAGGGATGAGGTCAGCACCGTCAGAGAGGATGGAGTTAAGTTCCCAGCCTAGTTGGTGCGGGAGAGGACAGAACTGCTTAGGTCCCCAGTAGGGGGCGCGCGAGAGGCAATCACGCATTGATGTTTCTCTCCCTTTCTCTCTCCCTTCACCTTTCTCTAAAAATAAATAAAACCTTTTTTTAAAGACACACATGCCACAAACTAATAATCCTGGAGAAGGAAATGGGGCCCGTATAGAGAAGAGGGATGTTCTAAAACAACAGGCAGAAGTGCTAGGCTCTGGAGTGACCCTGAATGGAAGCCGGGAAACACTTCCCAGGTGTTGCGAACAGGACGCCTCTGCTCCCAGGGGCCCTTCTGACCCTGGGCCTTCCCTCTCACTGCCTCCGTCTCCTGCTGGGGTCTCGGTGTGGCAAAAGCCTCAGACCCCCTCCTATCATTTCAGATAAGCAGAAGTTTTCATTCTACCCCACAGCTCGTCTGCTCTCCCCCCTCCATCGCCCCCCACACACACAACGCCTGTAGCCATTCGCTTGTCCCTCCCTCAAATCGGATCTTAATCCCTTCTAGGGAGACTGCCCTGGCCGGGCCTAAGAGGATTAGAGCATTAAGTGGGACCAGAGCAGGGTCAGAGAACCAGCTGGGGGAGACGCAGGGGCCAGGGCGGCCACCAGGGGGCGGCAGAGGACACAGAGTGGCAGGAGCAGAGGGACAGGTGCAGGAACAGAGGTCGCGGTCCGGGAAACATCATTTAAAGGGTTAGGAGGATGGCAACACCGTTGATTTTTTAAATTTTATTATCACCTAAATCCGATTTCCTACCTACACTCCCCTCTGTCCCTCTGGGGGCCCCAGGCGGTTCTGGAGACGGGATGAATGAGGACTCGAGGAGTGTCTGACCAGAACCCTCAGAGATGACTTTTGGGGGTTCCTGGCCTGGGAATGTTCTGGAAGGATGTGATCTGCCAGAAATCTGGGCAGAGCCCTGGGGTCTCTGACATGCGCTTTCTTGTAGCTTTAGGGTGTCCGATAAAACATGAAAGAGGATAAAAGCTTCTTTAGTCCTCACCACAGACATGCCAATTGGTTTTAGAGAGAGAAAGAAACATTCAGGTGAGAGAGAAACATTGGTCAGCTGCCTCTCCAAGGTTCCCTGATGGGATACGGGACCCGAAACCTTTTGGGGTTCAGGTGACACTCTAATCCCCTGCTCCACTGGCCAGGGAGAGAAAAAATGTCAATGCACAATGCTAAATACATTTTAATCCATTTAAATACATGTATTTTTAATTCCTCCATTTTAATGTGTAATACAGCAAGCAGTGAGTGAGAGAACCGGTATCAGCCCAAATCCTCTGCACCCTCCACAGTTTTCCAGAGCTGGGGAGGCCCAGGGTGTGTCTGTCCAAAAGAAAGTCCCCTTTGGATTTGGGGCTGGGTGAGGCAGGGCCGTCGAGGGCATGGGTTTGATGGGCAGACAAGCAGAGGTCCAAATATTGGTTCTATCCATCATTAGCTATGTGTCTCTGGGAGACACTCACTTCTCCGAGTCTCAGTTTTCTACCTTCGAAGACCAGGATCCTGATGCCCAGGGCCGAGCTGACCCCCTGCCCAGTACAAAACTGCCCACCCAGTACACGAACAGCCTGGACCATAAAGAAACCACTTGTCCAGTACATGGTCAGCCTGCCCAGTACGCAAACCCTCTGCCCAGTATGCAAACTCCCCACTTAGTACATGGACCTCTTGCTGCACACACGGACCGCCTGCCTGGCACTCAAACTTTATGACCAGTACATGAACCTCCTGCCCCATACACAGCCCATCTGCCCAGTATATGGACCACCTGCATTCTACACGGACCTTCTCCCCAGTACATGAACCCACCCGCCCAGTACACATACTTCCTGCTTAATACATGGACCTCCTTCCCCATACATGGACCTTCTGCCTTCTACACAAACCGCCTGCCCACTACACTGACCCCCTGTACAGTGCACGGACCCCCTGCATGGAGCTTACCATGGGGTATGCGGGAACTCACTGCTGAGTTCAACCTGAACCCGCACCCTCATGTCTCGGTCCCAGGCTCTGGGGATATGGAGGTTTGAGCCTGTCTTATGAGAACCCTGCATTTCCCCATGGCTCGGTCACTGCGGCGTTGATGTCCCTGGACCTGGTACAGCACCACAGGTGACCCAAACCCTTTGGGGGCCCAGGGAGTGTTATGTACACTATATAAAAATAGTAATAATATCACGAATAGCACATGCAGTATGTGTTATATATAATGTATCATAACACATATGTATATGTGTATCATCCATCTATGGATCTTTCATGCGTGAAAAGGAGGACATCTGGATGAATCTTCCCGAAATGAACAGAATTTGCCGGCACCTAGAATGAGAAAGGAACAGGATGCGTGTCCCGGAGGCCCTTCTCAGGTCCCCTGACTTGTCCCCTCTGCCCCCACCAGAGGCAGCATGACTTTGACCTCTAACGCCAGAGTCTGGGGGAACAGGTTTCATCATCTGCGTGAACTGAAGTGAACCACGTTCCTCCCCATCTTTCCCCCCCGCCCGATTCTCCTCTCTCCTTCACATGCTCTTTGCTGATCCGCATCTTCTGTTCAGCATCCGGGGTAGGAAACACTTTCGTGTCTCATGCGACTCATTATCCATTTCCTCTCGTTGCAGAAAAGCCACTGCCCTCAAAGGGGCCTTGACAGGGGCTCGTCTCCTGTGTCCTGTGAAGACAGAGAACGTCTCCACCACCTAGAAAGGTCCCTCGGGCCACTCGGCGGCCCGAAATCCTCTCCGCTGCAGGCAACGGATTTCAAATACATACACATTGATGAACAACAGTGAAAATGTGGAAAAATAAGAAAATAAAATACATAAAGTACAGCATACATATCTTGAGAGCATACACCATAGCATTCACCGTTTTGAAGTGTGCAGTTCAGTGGCATTTTGTCATTCACAGTGTTGTACAGCCACCCCCTCTGTGTCGCTCCACAACATTATCACCTCCCCCAAAAGGAGCCCTCGCCCATTTTTCTCCATTCTTTCCCCCTACCCCAGCCCCTGGAATCCATTTTCTTATTCAACTTTTTTAGATTGTTGATTTGAGACAGAGAAAGAGAGACATTGGTGTGAGAGAGAAACAATGACTGGATGTCCCCTGTACACACCTCGACTCGGGGATCAAACCCACCAGTGGGTGTCCACCCTGACTGGTAATCAAACCTGCAACCTTTGGGGGTTCAGGTCGATGCTCCAACCAACAAAGCCACCCAGCCAGGACTTGTGTGTTCTTGACCTTGGGAAGTTGACAGTCTGCTGCGTGTCTCCCAACACCACCGAGCAGTGAACTCAGTTCTGACACCAGCCGTCTGGAGACGGCGTTTCCTCGGACACGAAAAGGCTCCTCAAACCGAGGGGCAGATAAGTGTCTCTTGGGGATCAGGAAGAATAGTAATTTGGGATGTGGGCCAAGTAGTGTTCCAATT